ATTGGTGTGGCTCAATAACAATAACATCAGTATACTGTCCACCAAAACACGCAACTAAGACGGCAACATATAAAAAATTCTTCAGAACCTTAGGTAACAAATTTATTGCGGGGGGAGATTTTAATGCTAAACACGTTGAATGGGGCTCTCCGCTTTCAACACCCAAAAGACGACAGATGCTTGCGGCTATAAGAAGCGAAAACCTTACAACTATCTCGTCTGGAGAACCAACTTATTGGCCCACGGATCCCAAAAAAATGCCAGATTTGTTAGACTTTTGTATTACTAAAGGAGTGTGACAAAACGACACGTTCTGTAAATCTAGCTTTGATCTTTCATCAGATCACTCGCCAGTATTATTACGGATAAAATCGAATATACAACTTAAAGTTCAAAAATGTTATCTGCACAACAAATTAACCAACTGGGATGCCTTTCGGCATACACTTAAGTCATTACTTGATGTAAAAATGGCGCTTAAAACAGACGAAGAAATTGCGTTTGCAACCGAACATCTTATAAGGAGTATTCAACAATCAGCCTGGAGATCCACGCCTTCAAACATGCAACAATTCGCCACACCATTATGTAGTACGACTCAAGAACTTATAAGAGCCAAAAGAGCAGCGAGAAGGCGCTGGCAACAAACCAAATCTCCGAAAGATAAAAAACTTTTTAATGTGCTGATCAAAAATCTAAAAGAACATCTGAAAACAACCAGAAATTTGGAAATACAAAGAAATCTCCAAAGACTAGACGCAACTACTTCCACCAACTACTCTCTCTGGCGAGCAATTAAGAAACAGACATCAACGCACAATGCACCAGTAAAAAACGAACTTGGGCAATGGGGCCAAACAGATACAGAAAAATGCAGTGTATTTACGGACCATCTGTCTTCAGTTTCTATTCCAAACATTAATGAAGCCCCAAATAGTATAACTGAAGAGATTAAAGAGGTATTACAGCAAACGCACCAACTGGACCTTCCAATACGAAAATTCTCCATTTTCGACATAAAATTCGAAATCAAAAAACTAAAAATAAATAAAGCACCCGGCTATGACCTAATTACTTCAAAAATATTAAAGGAGTTACCGGATGAAGCAATAGTACTGCTGCGAAACATTTTTAACTCTATTGTCACAAAAGGCTTTATCCCTCCCCAATTCAAGGTGACTCAAATTACCATGATACTCAAACCTGGGAAAACGGCAAAAGATGTTAAGTCATATAGACCAATTAGTCTTCTACCGGTTATGTCAAAGTTGTTGGAAAATTTATTTCTTACCAGATTAATGCCCATTGTCAATAGAAGGAGACTAATTTCGGAATATCAATTTGGTTTTAGAAAAAAGCACAGTACAATAGAGCAAGTACACAGAGTGGTTAATGTTACACATACAGCATTTGACAAAAGGAAGTACTGCACAGCAGCATTTCTGGACATATCCTAGGCATTTGATAAAGTTTGGCATAACGGCCTATTGTTTAAGCTTAAAAAGATGCTCCCAACTAATTACTATATTTTCTTAAAATCTTACATCGAATCACGATATTTCTTTGTAAAACATGGGGATGAAATATCAACTTTGCAGCCAATTCAGGCTGGAGTGCCACAAGGCGGTGTCTTGGGACCTGTGTTATACTTACTCTTCACTAACGACTTGCCTACCACCGTTGGTACTGAGATTGGAACTTTTGCCGATGATACTGTGGTAATTGTTACAGACGAAAATCACCAGTTAGCATCCAACAAACTCCAGCGAGCGCTAGATAACATTTCCCAGTGGCTTAAAACCTGGAGAATAAAAGCAAATGAGACTAAGTCTTCACAAATAACCTTTACAATGAGAAGGAAAAATTGCCCACCGGTACGCCTTAACGATATTTTAATCCCTCAATCTACCCAAGTGAAATATTTAGGAATACACTTTGACACAAAACTAACTTGGAAGCACCATATTTTTACCAAAAGAAAAGCACTTGGCATCAGACTGCGGGAGCTCTACTGGATACTGAACAAAAGTTTAAAGCTTTCCGTGGAAAATAAACTTCTTATCTACAAAGCGATACTCAAACCAATCTGGACATATGGCATTGAACTCTGGGGAACTGCTGCATCTTCAAATATTGAGATTATCCAACGTTTTTAATCAAAAACCCTTAGATTAATCTTAGATGCTCCTAGATATTTAACAAATGAATGTATACAACGCGATCTCAACGTTCCGGTAGTTAAGGATGTCATAAAAAGCCAAGCCAGTAAACACAAAAAACGTATGTTACATCATCCCAACCACTTTATGAGCAGAATTATAGCAGAAGGAAGAACGTTCACACGCTCCGCAAACAAACGCCATTGGAACTTTAATGTGTCCGACTTCAACAGACGGATGTGCTACTGAGCTCAGTTCATTCAAGCTCAGAATGGTCTTTTAAGTATTTAGTCACTTTTAAATATTGTTTATTGTCTACTCTGAATTGACAGATCGCAATAAAAGAAAATAAAATTAAAAAAAAAAAAAAA